TTCAACATAGGCTGCAAGAGCGAATGAATAATCTGCGAAGAAGAATAAAAAGAAGCCATATGTCCATTCTTGTCTTAGCCAAAAACGTGCGAATTAGCCTTTTACGGAGAAGGATATCCCAAACTTCTTCAAAGTTCTTTATACAAAAATAAAGATTTTTGTCGGTAATTAGTTACTTTAAAATTTCTTTGATTTTGATGAATATATTTAAAAGTCTTTATTGATCGATACTTACATTTAAGATAATTTCTTTATCGGTCGCATGATAGTAATCCATAAAGGTACCATGCTAAATTTCGTTCAATTTCGATACGTCGCAAGGACTTTAGATTTCGTTATAAATATTTTTCTAAAAATATTTGAATACTGATACCATCGTAACGTTGAACTTTGGCAAAGAACAATAAAGATTGCCAACGATGTATATTTATAATCTTCTTGTTATCGATTTGCATCGCTGGGTAAAATGAGTTCGATACACACCAGATGACTGATGGCAATGTTTATAGTATTTATCTACAAATTTGGTACTTCATCTAAAGAAGCATGATATGCCGGAAAAATTAACGCGAAGACCGATCGATGGAAGAAATTGTTTGCCATTTACGTCGATATGCTCTCGGCCATTTTTTAAGAACCCGCGATAGCAAGTCTGCTAGAATATTCGGTATTTTGAACCGAATGAGCAAGCTTGATACTTTGTATATAGTTATGACAAATAAAAACTGAATTCATGCATAAAAAGATGTACATACATTTCAAAACACCATCGTTAAGAAGCTCATCGACAGCAGCCGTGGACCCGAAGATTAGCTACCAACAATGAAATCAGTACACCCTAGATGGCATGGGATACAAACTAGCAATTATGCAGATAAAAAAAAAATCACATAAACATCGTATTGTTATTGTGAACTGACAACACAAATCGACATTTTTACGAAGGTACACACTTAAATGTTTGGCCGAGATTCCAACAGCCGAGCATTTCTGCAGTTTATTTTGCTGAGATTCAGTAAAAAATGCCGAGACTCAGCTAACAAATAACTTTTTGCTGAGATATCAGCTAACGAACATATATTTTGCAGAGATATCAGCAAAAAAAAAAGCCGAGGTAATCGGCTGTTGGAGATTTTACCGAGCAAGATTAAGTGTGTACACACTAAGATTTTTTTACAGTATACTGTAAATTTTTACCGAATATGGAACAGCTGAACTTTTGGTAATCCATTCGGTAATTTTTCAATTTACAATCCGTTCGGTAAATTTTCTTCGCTTATGGGCTGTCAAAATTTACTGACCTGCGGACTGTAAATTTTACTTAACGATCAGTAAAGTTTACCATAGCGTATACCGAATCAAGTGTACTTTTTTTTCAGAATAAATCATAAAAATTATAATTTGTATTGATTAATTATTTGTTTCTTCATTCACCAACCCAAAAATTCATTCGACTATTTAACCATATATATTTTTAATAGGCATTTCCATATTGCGTTCGTACAAACATAATAAAAAACAGTAAAGAAACCGGACTCAGCAAACCGTGGTCAAAAGTCCACGAACTCAGCACTTTTGAGGAGGATATTGAGTTGCCTAACGTCCATGGCGTCTGAAAGAAATTGACCCAAAAATTGAAAACTAATAAAATTATCGGGGTAAATTTAACACAATCTAGCAAAAAAAGTAAAGTACTTACATTCCACAACATGAAACCGAAGAACACTCAACATCGAAATGGCAGCAAAGGTTGTGTTTGACAGTACAAAGTTTACAAATCTGTTCAGTAAGTTTTACGGAAATGCTGTACTTTATTGCAGTTTGTTTTTGTAAAAGATTATTTTTACAGTACATTCGTTACAACTTTTACAGAATTGCGGAATCGCAACCATTTTCAGTTTCAATCAGCAAATTTGATTTACAGTTTTCGGTAAATTTCTGCAAATTACGGAAATTCAGCAGTTATGATTGCGAAAAATTGGTAAAATAATATTGATTACAAAGCATTCGGTAAAAATTATATTTCAGCGAACAAATCCAGCAAAAAAGTACCGAACAAGATTTAAGAAATTTGGTGTGCAAAGATTAGACTTTTAGTATCTTCACTTTTCTTCATATCGAATAGGGAATGTGCACCAGTCTTGACTCCCAGGTCTTGACCATAGATCCCTATGTAGGCCACACATCAGAAAACCGATTAAATTACAATATTCGTGCATTTTGTGGTCAAAATGTTTATGCATACCGATTAATACGATTTGTACCAACAAACTGAATGCAACTGAACATCTCAAAACTGTAAACAATGTTAAATATCGACAAAAGGTGGCCAAAGGAACATGGCCAATACTGGTGCGTTTCCGTTTATTTTTGATATTGAAAAATCGATTTATCGAAAATTAAAGAAATTTTACGGAATGGTTGGTCGGGATATGTACATATCCCTTGAAAAACTGACTTTCAACCCGAGGCCTGGAGGGCAAAGAATTATACAATCGACTCAGCTCGACGAGATCGGAAAACGTCTGTGTGTGTGTGTGTGTTTTTTTTCTTAGTAAATCTCTACAGATGGTTAGATTTAAGTTCGCGTACCTATCAATTTCAATTTCGTGATTTTTTTGGCGAACAGAAAAACTTTAAAAGAATGTGGTTTTCAGCATTTTATTGAAAATATTATAAGGATTTACCCAAATTTTGGTTTTTGACACGTGCAGCGAGGTGGCGCTGCAGTCGTCTAAGTGACGGCATTCCCGGCGTGAAGCGGTTTACGGGTGGAAATGATTTGCAGACGGAGATAGTCCCAGAACAAAATGGATAAAAGATTCATAAACTACAAAGTTCGAAAAAATAGTGTAAATTTCTGTTCAATACGATGCACATAAATGGAGCGTCACATATCATATAAGTTTACATTATAAGTCGTGTAATAGTGTGAGACATTTCATGAAATTATGCAATTATTGTATACAAATGCCCATCTTTGTAAACAACATTGCTTACAAGTTACTCGTTTGCGTGAAGAGAAATACAAGTTAACGTGAATCATTACATCACAATTAAAATTCAGAATTTTTTGCTGTGTACAATGTTTAAACTAGTGCAGTACCTGGTCGATTGTAAAAATATAGATTTATGACAAAACGGCGCGCGTTCGAAAAATGTGGTCGATTTTCGGGCAAAATATCAAATATAATCGTGAATTACAAAGAAAACTATTAAAGATAAAGATAAAAACTCAGGTTCTTCACTAGAAAAAAGTATGCAAACAAACTACAAAAAATCAAGTTGATTATTCAATTAGAATTATGACTTTCGTTTCCACCCGACTTGAAAAACATGTTTTTGAGAAAAACGCGATTAAAGATAAATTTTATGCCAGAACCTCGCAGGTAGTGTTCCCGGGTATAAAACCAATTGTCCCGTATTCTATCATTTGAGGCAAAAAAAAAAAATCTATTTTTTGAACCCGCTACATTGGCCTAACCCCTTAAGTGAAACATGTACCTAGGTTTAATATTTAACCCGTGAGATGCGATATTTTCTTCAGATGAGTTTAGATTCAAGACACTAGAGAAGTCTGCACAATGTAGACGTAATACGCGCATCTGCCAAGGATAAACAATTAAGGTAGTGTAATTAAATGGAAAATACTAATCCATCTCACTTTTGTAATACAGGTATTCAACTATAGACGCCCACATTAAATCAAGATTACTGGTAACTCTTAAGCTTTCTTATACAAACGCCAAAAGACAGACAAAATTGTACAATCTATCGATAAAAGGTTAAAGCACCGAACGCAAATTTGCCAAACTCAAAAAGTTAATTTTTCTATAGGTTGTCCATGTTTCTATAACCACAAGTTCAACACGACGCCATTTGTAAACCGAATACGTTCAATAGGTTCATCGATGTGTGTTGTTGTTACTATTACTGCTCAAGCATGGGCTGAAAAGGCAAACATTTTACTATTTTCGATTGTACATAATATGCATATGTGTTCGCTAATCTGCAGTGATATTAACATTTTTATTTGTCAGAGCTAAGAAGGAGTCAATAGGCTGGTCCTCCGGACTGTTAAAAGGATACAACTTTTTGGGCATTCATGATTTTTGGTGGATTTACGGAAGAAGAAGAAGAACTAACATCCCGATCACTGATACTATGCTCCCACTTCGGAGTTATAACATTTATAACATGTGGGTGGTATAATAATAATTATAAACATGATATAAGACTGTGGATCACTTAGAATTACGTCTATCCACGTAAAAGTGTGTTATTTGCGTAGGTTTACAGAGATCATTTTTTGACAACGTTTTTCTTAGTACTTATGACACTTAACTTTACAACACTATTTAAATAAATAATGTTATTTAAGCTTTACTCCAGGAGTTGGAGAAACATGTCATCACATAACAGAAGGAGAAGTGCAAACAAATCGGTGAATCAAAAAGTGGTTCGTTTTTCTGCTCAACAAGCGATGCGTTATGGTAGCGTTCCACACGGGCTTATATGTGCTCTCATACTATCATAGCATGCTGCCTATCTTAACTGCAGGCAGAAGATGCCCGCAGTCATGCCTATGAGGCAATTTAAATAAACCATAACCTGCCTATTCATCGTTATTGTTTGTGAATTATCATTCAGAGAACAACCTTTGAAATGTCTCCGCACCGTAGATACAAAACTGTTAACATTTCGTACGGTGGGTAGTACAAAAATAAAATACTTACCTGTAATGTTTCCAATTGCACCCACGTGGTCCATAAATGTCCGAAACAGATAACGACAATCGCTGCTCTGTTTCAGTCAGGATCTTTATTCAGTACGTTTTTGTTTTAGTAATTAACACACCGACTGTGATGGCATACGCTCTGACTAATGATGATGATGAAGCAAAGTTGAAGTAATGTGCCACGCTGATTATGCTGCATCGTTATGGACGAATCGAAGAGGAGTATGATGGCAGAGGAATAATTGATTTAATACTACGTAAATTGTTTGTTTCTCCACTAGATGTGAATGTAATCGTTTATTTTTACACATGTACATGCTGCATCTGCCTTTAAATACAACTCATCTTCGACAATATCTAAAAGTGTTCTCCTTACATGTTGATAATTGCGCCTTCTTTTGTTGTGTGTCTAGAGGACACACAGCATTCTTATTAATTACTAATAATACTTCAACACGCCTTACATTTTGTAGATTAAAATTTGAACAAATACTGATAAATTGTAACGGTGAGAGAAAAACGTGCATTATTTGAATGGTTAAGTGCCTCCGTCGAGCAATCATCTATTAATTGCATGTTCGAAAATGCATGGAAATGCAGTAAATAGATGATGATGACTCTTGGTTGATGTTATTTTGTTTAGAAGATGGATTATTTGGATCACTGTTGCACAAGGACTTGGTATAAAATAGTTGCATGTTTTGTTTGATATCCTATTATTGACACTAACCCTCATACTTAGTCTGCTTTGTATTTGCTGCCATTGTCTTTTGTTTTACTTCGGGAGAAGATAGGGGTTTTTTATGTATTGATTTGTCAATGAGATTTATTTGATTACTTTTTCATAGCTGTTTATTTCATATAACTCTTCATAAATTTGCAATGTTTCTTACAAGTGCGATTGTTCGATAAAAACGATGTTTTCATTGTTATCCTCAACACAATATATATCTAATGCTGATATTCAATCTAGCGTAAAAACCGATAATATATTTTTGGGGGCCAACACAAAGCAACATAGACTATAATGTTAAGGAAACTGAAGAATGAGTTATGCTTTTGTCCGATTTACCAAATTCCTGATCTGATTTATTTTTCATCCATGCTTCTTGGCCTGTTCTCATCGGAATCGGACTGCTGAAAAGAAAAAAACCAAAAAAAGAATAGGTAAAACATTTTAAAGATCTGTTGCTGCGAATGTTGCTATATTGGTTCACCAATTGGTCCATGGTGAAAATATGCCTAAATTTTTGAATTTCTTATCGTTAAGTTCTTTGTAATTTTAAATTGGCTAAACATTTTTTTTATTATTTCTAGTGCTTTACGTTGTGCATCCTTGTCAGTGCACAGCGGTTTTAAAGGAAAAAAAAAATCATGAACCTAATTGTTTTATGATGTATTGTACATTTTGACGTGTAATTGTGTTCAGATGATATTCATGTGAGCCCGAAAAATTTCGAAGTGGTTGAAGGTGTTCGTCATTCGTTTCTTCAATCATTTTTGTCAATCTTCATTAGTTTATATTTTTAAATCTCATTTCTTGAATTTAGTTAGTTAACCTGTTATAATTTGTTTCGAGTAAAAAAAAGATAAGATAACCTTACTAAGTATAACTTCTATTTAGTACTTTAAGTCCTTATAAGTAATAGAAATATTTGTTTACTTAAATAGTGCCATACTAATCCCTTGTATACTAAAACCCACCTCAGTTTTCAGAAAAGAAACGGATACAAATGATTTCTACAACAAATGAAGTTCAGCCACTTGCATCTAGCTTAGTTAAAATGTTTTGAAAAATTGTTACATTTTTGCTTCTATATGTAATCTATATAGGGGAAATGGATGTGATGTTGGCCTAAATGCCCCTAATTTGGGCCCATACATACATTCGGCAATCGACTAAATTTTCAATAGCGACCAAAAATATACATTAGTACCGTCCCAATGACGCGTTCGTCTAGATAAAATTGATAAATATCAGATTTTTAGTGATGGGCCCAATCTTAGATTCATACGCCAACATTAGAGCCATTTCCCCTATCTCTCACAAGTAATGATTTAATAACATGATACATGATATATAATGTAAACTTATATGATAGATGACGCTCCATTTATGTGCACAGAACAGTGAACAGAAATTTACACTACTTTTTCGAACTGTGTTATATAATGTTCACTATATATTAAATGGAGTGAGAAAGCGGAAGGAAATCAACGAATGGCATGATGCAGGTTTCACCCACACCCCAAACTGGCTGCACACAGTTCGAAAAAGTAGTGAAAATTTCTGTTCAATATAATGCACATAAATGAAGCGTCACATATCATATAGGGGAATATACGTATTCTCGGCAATCTAAGCAGCTTCCGCATTTCTATTAACATTTTCTCAGTGTCACGCACACATATGACGTGTCTGTTTGTTTACATTTATCTGCTGCTAGCTATTCTATCCATTCCAATCGACAGAACTGTCCACACCGGGTAGAAAACGTTTTTAAGGCGCTCCAAACTTCTCAGATGAGTGTGACTATTGTCGGCAGCCTCTTTTACTTCGGCAACCTTTCCGTTTAAACTGTGTGTTAACCAGCTGTTCTATTGTCGGCAACTCGAAATCAGCCGTATTTTCATGTGCTTATGTTTCATTTGAAGAAACACCTGGCATAACAGATTTTCTCAGCCGTAAAAATGTATTACACAGATAAAAATTCTGAATTTTAATAGTGATGTAAACATTCATTCACGTAAACTTCTATTTCATTTCACGCAACCGAGCAACTTGTAAACAATGTTGTTTACAACAATGGGCTTTTGTATACAATATTTGCTACATTGCATGAAATGTCTCAGAACTTTACATGATATATCATGTAAACTTATATGATATGCACACTTAGAAATAACTACTTTTACACGAGATGCAATCCATATTGGACGTGAATCATAGAACGTAAACAAACATTTCATGTAAAATTAAGTGTTCTCAAACCGAAACATCAGCTACACAGTTCGAAAAGTAGTGTAAATTTCTGTTCAATATGATGCACACAAATGGAGCGTCATATTTCATATAAGTTTACATTATATATCATGTAAAGTTCTAGCACAATTCATGCAATGTAGCAAATATTGTATACAAAAGCCCATCTTTGTAAACAATATTGTTTACAAGTTGCTCCGTTGTGTGAAATTAAATTTAAGTTTACGTGAATGAATGTTTACATCACAAATAAAATTCAGAATTTTTATCTGTGTAGTCAACGAAGAGAACGTTTGATTGAATTGATTTTCACGTTTCTTTCAACTGATTCTTATGTCAAAAAGCCCACTTACATGTGTCGGTCTCAGGAAACCGAAATTTACATGACTTTTTAGTAGTGTGTGTGACGCTCCATTTATGTGCATCATACTGAACAGAAATTTACATTACTTTTTCGAACTGTGTAGGATTGAAGCTGAAAGACTACGGAATCGTTTAAATACATTCAGCGAAGTGTTTTAGTGAGAAAATACAGCGAAAATAACGTTTAAATTATGGTTGCCGAAAACAGTCGATAGCTGCCGAAGCCATCATTTACCCTACGTTTACATTATATATCATGTAAAGTTCTGACACATTTCATGCAATGTAGCAAATATTGTATACAAAAGCCCATCTTTGTAAACAACATTGTTTAAAAGTTGCTCGGTTGCGTGAGATGAAATACAGGTTTACGTGAATGAATGTTTACATCACTATTAAAATTCAGAATTTTTATCTGTGCAGGTATCTGTCCAGCAGATGGAATACGCCAGAAGAAGAGATTGATTTGAAATGAACTTATAATTGAGAAAAAGTAGATTCGAGCAACCGCTCCACATATCCCAGAAGTTTAAGTTTCTGGAATAGCTCTCAAAGGCAAGCACTGCCATATTTTAGAAATAAGAATTGGAATATGATACGAAAAACTTCCCATCACATCGTTTATGTTGTAATAATATTGAATATCTGTCGTTTTTTATACCATGACTTGTCATTTTGTCGTTTACCTACTAATCGTTGCGAAAAAGTTGACACTTCTCGTCTTCGCTGGCCTATGTATGCTTAACTGGTGTAGGCTTATAGTGTGCTTATTTGTGAAATCCAAAGAAAAAACTAAGTTGAGGGCAGGTGCAAATTTGCAATTGGGTTGTAGTAGTCAGGTAGAAGGGAAAAGTGGATAACATGGTCATATATGTCGTTCAGCAACGTTGAAAATTCGTTTGCCATGTCCCCGTCACAAACATTTTCAATCGATGTTGCATTGTAATGTATCATCATCATTATTGCCAAAATGTATCGTCCGTGCTCAAATAGTCTCAGGCTGACACGTTGCAATACATGCTTCTGTTTCATTTCAATCGGAATTAGAAATCAACGCAGGTGAGGAAACGTAATATTTCATTCTACATAATTTATTCATATTTCTCGGAGGTGGCTGAACAGATTTGAGAGCACCTGGTTTCATATTGTTCTGACTCCCATGGATTTAATTTTATCACAGATTGACATTTGGGTTCACAGATATGACCTAAGCCCACACACTTAGAAAAATTGATATAAATTTAGGTGCTCTGAGACTGACATATACAAAGCTAAAAAAAAGTAGTGTAATTTTCAGTTACTATGATGCACATAAATGGAGCGTCATATATCATACAAATTTAGATTATAGATCGTGTAAATTTATGAGACATATCATGCAATTTCCCGTATATTGTATGCAACTGTCCACTTTTGTTTGCAACATTTCTTGCAAGTTGCTAATTTACGTGAAAAGGAAGTTTACATGTATGAATGTTTGCATGCATGGATGTTTACATCGCCAGTAAAATTCAGAATTTTTTGGTGTGTACGAGCGTCAATTTTAACCAAAAACTTAGTCATAATAGACGTGAAATTCAGCTCAATCAAACGTACTTTTAAAGTTTTCAGTCTTGTAGCACTTAATTTTATACACACTACTAAAAAGTCATGTAAATTTCGGTTCCCTGAGACCGACACATGTAAGCGGGCCTTTTGACATAAGAATCAGTTGAAAGAAACGTGAAAATCAATTTAATCAAACGTTCTCTTCGTCAACTAGTTGATGTTTCAGTTTGAGAACACTTAATTTTACATGAAATGTTTGTTTACGTTCTATGATTTACGTCCAATACGGATTACGTCTCGTGTAAAAGTAGTTATTTCTAAGTGTGTATGACATGTTTGTTTACGTCTCATCCTTTATGTCAAAGATGGATTCCGTCACGTGTAAGATAAGGTATTTCGAAGTGTGCACACTACGAAAAAGACATGTAAATTTCAGTGCCCTGAGCACCTGCAAGCGGCCCTTTTGACATAAGAATCAGTTGAAAAGGACGAGAAAATCAATTCAAGCAAACGAACTTTTCGTCGAGTTGCATATCCCGACCAACCATTCGTGAAACTTCTTCAAAGTTCTTTACACAAAAATAAAGATTAATGTCGGTAATTCTTTACTTTCAAGTTTCTTTGATTTCGATGAATATATTTAAAAACCTTTATTGATCGATACTTAAATTTAAGATAATTTCTTTATCTGTCGCATGATAGTAATCTATAAAGATGCCATACTAAATGTCTTCTAATTTCGATGTGTCACAAGGACTATAGTTTTCTTTATAAATATTCATCTAAAAATATTTGAATACTGATACCATCGTAACGTTGAACTTTGGCAAAGAACAATAAAGATTACCATCGATGCACATTTATAATCTCCTTGTTATCGATTTGCATCGCTGGGTAAAGAGAGTTTGATACACACTAGATGACAGATGGCAATGTTTATATTAGTTATCGACAAATTTGGTTCTTCATCGAGAGAAGCATGATCTGCTGGAAAATGAACGGGAAGACTGATCGATGGCCACGATGATAAAAATGTTTGCCATTGTAATAGTTCTTTAAGTTTACGTCGATACGCTCTCGGCCATTTCTTAAGAATCAGCGATAGCAAGCGTGGTAGAATTCTCGGCATTTTGAACCGAATGAGGAATCTTGATACTTTGGTTATTGATATGACAAATAAATTTTGAATTCATGCTTGAAAAGATGTACATACATATACATACACCATATACTAGAGTGTGAT